GAAGTGTCCCTGCCCAAGGTTAAGAGTAGCCTTATTGTGAGTATAAGCATAAGCACTTAGAAAGCTGGCTGACAACAAGACCATTTTGCAAAAGCAACAGTAGCAGGTTCCCCCTATGACCTATGAACTCCCCACCATGGACTTTGACTGGGTGTTACTTTCCTTTGGCTATCATCCAAGTCATTGCATCATAGCATTTCCTGCCATCAGACACAATACATTCTCCCAGCATTCAGTTTAGTTTTCACACCTAGCTCTATTCTGCCCTATCATAGGCCAAAGCAGCTTCTTTATTAATTAGCCAATAAAAGCAACACATAAACATAGGCTAAGTCCCTAGTGAGTAAGGATTCTGTTTTGTTCATTATATTTATAAGACAAGGTACAATGAGTTTTTTGTTGTTGGTGGTTTTGGTTTTTTTGTTTTGAGCCAGGGGTCTTACTAAGCAGCACTAGCTGACCTGGAACTCACTACACAGGACAGGTTGGTTTTGAACTCAGAGACCTGCTTGCCTCTGCCTCCTAAGACCTGAGATTAAAGGTGTGTGCCCCTATGCGCACTAAAGCTTAAAGTCTTTAATATGACTTGTAAGACTATAAAGTAAGCATGTTGACCCTTCCAATCTCATCTTTCACTTCCACGACCTATCAGCCTACTCTATTCCTGTACTCTGTTGTTAGGAATCACTGAGTGTCTTGCTGAATATGGCAAAAATGCTTATTCTGGAGACTGATGCAGGAGGATCATAAGGGTGTTTGAGGTCATCCTGGATTACAAAGGGAGTTCCAGTCTAGCTGGGATACAGAGTGAGACCCTGTTGGCAGAGACTGCTTGTTCATTTCCCAGTTGCCCACACCCAAAATAATCACACAGAAACCATATTAATTGCAATACTCTTTGGCCAATAGCTTAAGTGTTTTTCTAGCTAGCTCTTACATCTTAAATAAACCCATTTCTATTCTTTTATATTTTACCATGAGGCTTATGGTTTACCAGCAAAGCTCTGGGCATCTGTCTCTTCTGGCAGCTACATGGCATCTCTCTGACCCCACCTACATTCTCCCAGCATTCAGTTTAGTTTTCCCACCTAGCTCTACTCTGCCCTATCATAGGCCAAAGCAGCTTCTTTATTAATTAGCCAATAAAAGCAACACATAAACAGAAGGAATTCCCACATCATCTCCCCTTTTCTGTCTAAATAAAAAGGAAGGTTTTAACTTTAACATGGTAAAATTACATATAACAAAACAGGTATCAAGCAAGAATTATAGTTACAATATTTATATCTATTTTATCTTTTATCATAACTAAGGAAAACTATAACTATTCTTCAACTCCATCAAAGACCCCAAAAGGATATAATATTACCTAAGTAAATAGGAAGTGCATTGTAAGCAACTCCCAAAACTCTAGAATTGACAGAGACATCTCACTGCCTAGACAGTCATCCAAAGTTCTTTTGTAACATTGGGACATCCATCTTCAACCTACAGGTCCATAGTGTCTGGTAGATTTTCCATGAAGCAGGAAATTTGAAAGACTGTTTTGCTTCTATTGACAATTTGTCAGTCACTTTCTTCTATATCCTGCAGAATGTCTGGAAGACTCTTCATGAAGCAGGAACCCCGAAGGACAGTCTCACCTTTAGGCAAGTTCAGCAGTCATTTTTCTGTGGGTCCTGCATGTTCAGTTCATACATAACACCAAGCAGTCCAGGCAAGAGCAATTTCTTGCCCAAATGGCTAACAAACTCCATAAGGAGCTTCTTTGATGCCCATCTTCCTGTTGAAGAAGATTGGTCTGCCAGGAGCAGATGTGTCTCATTATCATGAAAAGTCCTAAGTTTTTAAAAAATATTTTAAATGCCATATTCTGCTAGTTTTCTAAAGATCTGAAGAGTATCTATCCATCTGAAATATACCTTTGTACACCTGCAAAACCTAACTAACCTGACTACAATCTTGACTATTATAGATGATTATCTATTAGCCTTTACTTCTTAATTATACATTACATTTTTAAATGAGCTGCACAAACACACTACTTTAATCAAGAGCAGAAGTATACATATAACAAAATTGATCTTAAATTTGTATAAATAAACAAAGATCCATACCAATGTAAAGTATTCATCTTTATAGCATATCCCTCTTTAAGTGTAAACAAACATTTATAAACAATATTTGGGAATTTGGGCATAGTTCTCTCCAAACTGTTTCCTGCTTTTTGTTGGGTGAAGTAATTTTTTGAGAGGGTTCACGGAGACCTTTTTAGGAGGGGTTCTTGGTCCATCAAACAACATTAGTCTGTAAGGAATCTGCAGGTTCTCATCCTCTGGGGAAACAAAAACAGAACCTCTTTTCCAAAGCAATATATCCTTAGACCCAAATTTTGAAGTCAAGATACCTTTAAAACATATATGTTGATTTAGCTTAGCAGCCTGTACAATAAAATGTCTCTTTGTACTTACCTCATTCACAGTCAAAAAATTCAAAGAAAACACAATAATATACATAATGCAGACTCTCTGTGTATATTCCATCTTTACATGGCTTATTTTTCTTATTCCTTTAATCTATGACTCTATACTTTGTTTCTTTAAAGACTTTGTTTTATTTCTTAAAACCATTTACTTTATATTTTTAAACAAAATCTATGCTCTGTTGGGGTGCTGGGGTTACAGACATGAATCACCATGCTTGGCTCTGTTTAATATATTGGGATCTAAGTGCACTTACTCATAAGTGAGACTTTCTTTTTAAATTGGGTTATAGGACACATTACACTTCTTTGGGACCCTGTGCTCACTGAAATCAGATGAGTCACTGTCACCCTCACATGAGTCATCACCAGAGCTAAGTTAAAGAACGAAAAGATCGAATGGAAAACATTATTCTTGTATGTGTTTCAAAGACTGATGTCACATTTACAAGCCATTGACGTCTGGTTGTCTCCCTGATGAAAGAAGAATTTTTATAGATGAAGATGTAAAGGAAGCTATGATAAGCAGATGCTACTGTAAAGAGGAAAAAAACCCAAAACATATTTGAGTACATTATGTAAGAAATGTGTTGGAGCCATGTGAAGAAACTGCTACAGGAAAACTTGTAGAGAAAACTTGTAAAGCCAAACAGCATATTTGGTTTTAAACCAGAGGTTATTCTGGTGGGCTTACTCTGAAAGCCTGTTTATGTGGTGACACGGGGACATTTGTACAGCTATCTCCCTTGGAGACTTCTGGGCTCCACCTATACGTGGCTCAAAGGTCTGTTTGGCTGGGTTACACCTTTCTAGGTTAAGAGACTGGCTAAAGCTACTTATAGATTTCTGGGAGAGAAAATCTGATTGAACAAGGTTGAATCCATTTTCTATTACCTGTTTCAGGTGGCCGTGATAGGGTGAGGAGTGTCAGGACAAGTGAGAAATAGCTGGGTTGCTCTGTGAACTGAATAAATTAATCTAAGAGGGCTGTGCCCACAATTCATCTTGTGTGGTGGCTCATGCCTCTATTCTAAGCAGACAGGAGAATCTAGTTTCAAGTTCAAGGTAAGCAATGACCTGGCCACCTGGGTTACATGAGACCATGTCTTATATAAACCTTCTAAATACATAGGAAGTACTCAGTACGTACTACCCATGTGTGCATTAGTTATAAAGATTTCATTTCTAGCTTGGAGATACAGCACTGTGGTACAGAACATAGCTAGTGTTAAGTCCTAAACCTTGGGACAAATGGCTAAGGTGCCTTTAATTAACATACCTAAGCAAACCTGGTCCCCAGTTCCTACCTGCTACAGGGTATGGATGGCATACCCCACACTTCACCCCCAAATTCTCAGTCCAGGGTTTGGGCTGCCCTTCTCTATATAATGCAGTCATTTTGGTTACTTGCCCCCTTTTTATCTTTTGTCCTCTTAGCTGCGGCACCTGGTTCCCCTCTCCCCCTCCCCCAACTCCTGACGTGACTCAGGATCACATCCACTCTGGACTCTTCCAGATGTCCCTGCCTCCAGCTATGCTCTCCCTTCTACCTACACTGAACCTTCCCCTCCACCATGCCCAGGGGCAGTCTTATTCTTCCTTTTTCTGCTTTTCATTCAGCTAGTACATGCAAGGCTCTGGGTTCGATAATCAGTACTGCAAAAATAAAACAAGTTTACATGATATCTGTTTTCCATAATCTAGAATTTTAATACAGTTCTGTTATGCTTAACACCGTCAATGTGTCAGAATCTAAAATACACAGGAGACAAGATTCTGGGCTTGTCAGGAAGTTTCTATACTGAGTTATTGAGGTGGAATGAGCCAACCTAAATGTGGGCAGCAACATTTCAGGTTAGGCTACTAAATAAAAAGAAGAAAGCGAACTAAGCACCAACATTCATTTATCTCTCTCTGCTTCCTGAATACAGTGTGAGCTCATGCTTCTCCTGCCCAGCCTCTACCTCCATGATGTGGTGTAGGAAGTCCTTCTGTTTGTGTATTGCTTTCTTTGGTTGAATAAAGAGACTGCCTTGGCCTTTTGATAGGGCAGAGACTTAGGTAGGCAGGAAAGACAGAACTGGATGCTGGGAAGAAGAACAGAGTCAGGCAGACATCATGAATCTCTGGCCTGAGACGGACGTAGGTTAGAATCTTGACAGTAAGCCACAGTCACGTGATGATACACAGATTTAATAGAAATGGGTTAAACTAATATGTGAGAGGTAGCCAATAAGAGGCTGGAAGTAATGGGCCAGGCAGTGTTTAAATGAATACAGTTTCTGTGTAATTATTTTGGGGCTAAGCTAGCTGGGCGGCGGGACACAGCTCGCCACTCGTCCTACAACAATGATGGACGATGTACTAAAACTAGAACAAAGCGAGTCCTTTGGTCTGGAAGTTGCTTTTGCCAGGCATCTCGTCATGGCAAGGAAGAAAACAACCAGAAAGAAAGCTGGTGTCACCTAGAGGGAGTGGGACTTGGGAGAATGAAGCCAATAAATGAGGCAGACTAAAGTCTCATGCAATAGCCAACTTTATTCAGAGCAGTTTATACTGAGGGTTAGAAGAATCACGTGACTAAAGTGTACAATCATAAGGATAAACTGCATGTGGCAAAAACATGTTTTTCCTTAGAGGCACATATACAAATAACCATAGCCACTTGTAATGAGCAATCTGAAGTGAACACACTGTCTGCTATGCCTGGGAGGAGCACGGAAACACACTGCAAGAACAATTCCATGGTTTGAAGAACCAAGGTCCCAAGACTCTCAGTGTCTTGAAGTTTCCTCACAAACACTCACAATTCTCCCACGGCTCCATCCCTGGTCCGTGTCCGACAGGCTGGTGCTCAGGAATGCGCTGTTGCTGTGGTGAACACGACTATGCAGTTCTGAGACTGCTGGAAACAGTCTGTGGGAGGAATGTACAAGACTTTGGAACTCTGCTCCAGAGATGTCTAGAGTGCCGTAAGCAGAACTTAGTGGGGCATTTTCATGGAATCCAGAAGAGCAGAACACCGAGGGAAATGTGGCAGTGGAGACCCAGCACACGAGGTTTCTGAGGCAAGGACTCCATTCTGCCCATGTCCTGAGCATCTGATAGACAGAAACTCAAAAGCAACTGACTAATGTTTTTGGTGGGAAAACATTCAAAGCCAGCTTGCAGTCATGCTGTGTCATGAGTGCTGTCTGCTGCTCTTGTCTGGATCGTCAGTTAGGGAGACCAAATTCTGGGGCAAGTGTGAACAAGTTTAAAATTACAAACATGCTATGCCTGAAACCACCATAATTGTTAATGACATTAGTGCAATTAAAGAGAAACCTGGAGCTCTACCCTGGGACAGCAGGAAGGGTGTCCGGAGAGCAGCCACAGAGAAGACCACCTTGTGGAATGCAAAGGTGGACTGAATGCCTTTATCATGAGTTGGTCATGAGCCAGTGGCCACAAGGGAAGAAAAGTCATGACACAAAAGCTGTATGTTTGGTTGTTAAGTTGACAAGGGACGAACTTGTGATAGTTAGATTGTCAACTTGAAAGAAACAAGCTCTCGATGACAGCAAGGAGGGAGTTTCTGAAGGAGAAAGACCCACCTGAGATATGGCAGCAACACCCCATAGGGCCCAGACAGAATAAAATGAAGGAAGCTGAGATCAGCATTCATGTCTCTGCTTCCTGGATGCATGTGTCATGTGACCAGCTGCTTCACACCCCTACCGTATCCCTTCCCCACCATGATGGACTGTATCCCTTTGAAATAACTTTAATAACAATTAAGTAACTCATTATTTATAGAAATAATTATATAATTATACAAATTAAACTATTTCTATATTATATGATGTAATAAATATAAAATTAAAGCAATTATAATAAATAAATTTAAGCAATAATAAAAACAAAATAATAATTTCAAAATAATCCGCAGAAATTCAACCTGAAATGCACCTTTCTCCCTGAGCTGCCTCCCTCAGGTGTCTGATCACAGCAATGAGAAAAGTAACTAACACAAACTCCAATCAAATGTGTGACTCTTGGGTCCCGCTCCTTAGCCCTGGCTGTCCTGGAACTCTGTATAGACCAGGCTGGCCCCAACTCAAAAAGATCTACCTGCCTCTGCGTCCCAAGTGCTGGGAAGTGCTGTGACTCCACCTGTCTAGTTCTTAAGACTTAACGAAGGGACTCACACCACTGAAACTTTAAAAATAAAGGCACATTAGATAGGGCCAGTGAGACAGGTTTTTTTGTGTTTCTCTGTGAAGCCCTCTCTGTCTGACCTAGGCCTCCCTCTGTAGACCAGACCGGCTTCAAACTCAGAGATCCACCTGCTTCTGCCTCCTGATTAAGAGCATGCTCCACCACCATCCGGCTAAGGCAGCATTTTCTATCAGTAGAGAAGACTGGGTATCCATTAAATAAATGGTATGGATGTTAGACTCTTCCCTTTTTTCTTTTTGTTTTGGCAATGCTGAGAACCATATCTGGGGTCTCAAAGATTCTAGCTAATGTACTTTATCACTCACTGAACTATATCTCTAGCCCCTCTTTGCTCCTTTTAAATTTTATTACATTTACTTTCATATGTGAGAAGAAATGTCTATCACATCTTATCAGAGTCGTTCATCTCCTTCCACTATGTGGGTTGCAGGGATCAAACTTAGGACTTGAAGCTTTGCAGCAAGAGCCTTTACCAAGCTTTCTCCCCTTTTTAAAAACTTGCTCTTTTTTGTTGGTTGTTTTTGGAGACAGAGTTTCTTTGTGCAGCCCTACTTGCTCTGTAGCCAGGCTGGCCTCAAACTCAAGAGATCCACCTGCCTCTGTCTCCTGAGTGCTGAAATTAAAGGTGTGCGCCACCACCACCCAGCTAATCTTGCTCCTTTTAAGTACACTTCAGATGGAGTAAACAGTGTGTGTGCACATGCATATTAAAATCCCTGCAGCTACCAAGGAAATGCAGCAAGTTGAGCAGGAAGTTGAGGTGGAAACAAGACTGACAGACATGCCCACACAAAAGTTAAAGCCGCCCTTCACAAACCAAACATTACTGGCTATCTTAAAAGAGAAATTTTATAACCAAGCAATTTTTGCAATAGTTAAACAAAAAGCTAATGCTGCTAATATGCAAAAGCATTGCAGATTTTAAAAATTGTGAAAACCTCAAATTTAAAATAAATAGAAATTATAAGCCAGGAATTCTCAAAGAACCAGTACACATATGAAAAATATTCGGTTTTATACCTAGGTAGCAAAATACAAATTTATACAAGAGTTTTTAAAAGACTGATTCGCAATGGAATGCGGTACACTCTCATGCAGCATTCTAATACTCTTATCGGGAAAGTGCACTTGAATAAAAACACTTTTAAGGAGACTGTTAACATTCAGAATCTTACAAGTGTGTGCTCCCTTTGATCTAGCAGCCTATCACTGCTGAGAAACTGTAAATACCTTAAAAGCTCACTAATTAGGGCTTCTCTAAACAATGAAAACAGACCACCATTAAAAACGTATATAAGACCTGGAGAGACATGCACCAAATACCTCTGTGTGCTTATCCGGAAACTGCTTTTATAAAGACAGCAGCGTGGGTTGAGCTCCTTGCCCCACCCAAGAGGACAGGGCCACCCTGGGTAGCCCAGGCCCGCCTCAAGAAACACCGATCCTACCTAGGCCTCCCAAATGGACGGATTACTCCACGCCATTGTTTTCCCCCTCCGTGGTTTTTGAGACGGAATCTCGCTATGTAGCCCAGATTGGAGTTAGAATCCTCCTGCCTCAACCACGCCCGACTTTTTTTTTTTTTATTTGAATTGCTAGCTATTTTGGATATAATTGTGTACTGTTGGGATGCTGCTCGCATAACAAACCGGAATCTTTTTTAATGCATTATCCTTACGATTTGGCGATGGGAAAACTATTAGCCTGCGGAAAGAGAAGCGTTGCCCGGGCCCGACGGGCGCAAAGAAGGTGCAGGGCTCTGAGCCTCGCCACCGGAAACCCGCCCCGAGCGGGGATTGTGGGCCACGGACGGAGGCCGGGCCCGCCGAGGGAGGAGCGGTTAGCCTTCTGGAGCAGAGCGGTCCCGCTTCCCGTTCGAGGGAGCGCGTCCCGCGCCGTCTTGGCGCAGAGACACACGGGGACCCGCCTTCCCGCGCCAGCGGGCCCGGCGGGCGGAGGGAGCGCCCGTGCCACCGAGCCGGGCGGACGCTG